TGGTTTTAGGACATTAATCAACTTCTAAAGGAGCTGCCCAAAACGGAGATTCCCCAGGACCAAAAGCAGCGTCTTTCGACGAAAACACTCGCGCAGTTTATCGACGTTTCCGAGCTGGCCGATACAGTACTCAAAAATGAAGTTTGGTTGTTCTTATTTAATCTTTATGCAGTTTGACACCCAGTCCTTCCTTCTGATTTGTCTAAATGTCAGTTTTATTTCCAGGCCGATACCGCTCAACAAAGGGAGTTGCCTACGCTGAGCAGCGCATCCGATCTGGAAAGCCAGATAGCAAAGGTGTTATTTTTGTGACAGCAACTTTTTATCACAACGTTGAATGAGTTTGGAATTTGCGTAGGAACATGAGTTCTGTTCTTGAAAATCAAATTTTTCATAGTCAACTTCCTTTTTTCATGTACTCAGTTAGTCGCACAGATATAGGAAAAATTTTATGTTCGGGGACGTGCCTTACTTTGGCTTAAAAGTTGGAAAATTTAAGTGAAACGTTGATGCTCAACAGAAGCCAAGTACATCGCGAAATAGCTAAAATCCTGCAAAGTAGGGCTGTACGGAGGCGAAACGAACTTCAAGATCATCATTGGGCTGGTCACCGGGGATGTAGCATTGGCTAAATCATGCCAGTTGTTCCTCCAGGGTCCAGGAATTCATGATGTGTAGTTTTGTTTTTAGCTGGAAGAGGAAGAGAAGTTTTTGGATGACTCGCTGAGAAGTTTGCAACAAAGAGAAAAAGAGCAAATCGAAGAGATGAATGAGATCGATGCAAGAATTGCGGATTTCGATAAGCTTGTGAGCAGCCATGACAAAGAGTATGTTGTATCACGCTGTTGGTGTTGTGGCTTGGTTCAGCACATGTACAAATAAGGCAATTTTTTTCAGGACTGTGGAAAGGCTGAAGCATTTGTTGATGGAGCACGACGAGATTCGTAAGCGCGAAACTGATTTTAAAGCACACTGCCGAAGCGAACTCAAAAAATTAGATGAAGAGCTTGAAAGACTGAACCCGGCTGATCACAACAGACAACATGTAATGTTTTCATCAACTGACCTAGCCCAATCAGCATCCATTTTCTATGATAAATCTCCGTTTGTGGCACTCAAACATAATTGAACTAATAGCATTTTGACAGCAAAATTCATTTGTTGGAAAGGCTGTGCCCCTCTTGCAAGGGCAAGCTGAAGTCAGTTCTCATACGCCTCACTACAGTTTATCTCCGAAACAAAACGTGAGAAAATTCGCTTTTGCGCCAGCCTATTGAGCCATAGTTTTGTGTGATTTTCAGTTCCAGGGGGGCTAAACGTCTTATAAGTATCTATAAGCATAAGAAGTTTGATATTGCCAGACTAAAACGTTCTGTTCTCAGATTTTGCTTCAGGAACCGATCAGTATTGAGCAAATTCATCTTCCCTGATGATTCGGCAATTAAACGCCTAGTCAGCAATCTATTCTCGTAAACGACTGTTTCTAATAATTAG